CTGCTGAACAGTTTTTTTTCCCAATTTATTAAAAAGGGCCCTTTTTGTTGAAATCTGTGAATACCTCATCAGGCAAATATGAAGAAATTAACAAATTGAGGAAAAAATTGTGAATAGTATGATGCTGAATGAAATATGCTGTTGACAGTATCCAAGGAAAGTTCTTCAAGACTTCTATGTAGTATTAAAGCCATAAAATGCAAATGTAGCTTTTGTTTTTGCTGTTGTTAAAAGCACTTTACTGAGTGATAAACATCACATCAAAGCCATTGTAGTGAGTAATTTCTGATACTCAGTAGCATATTCGAGTTTTCAGTAAAATGCTTTAAGAGTACCCTAATTTGATATGGCTTTCTATTTACAGCTATTGTGGATGATGAAAGGCTTTCAGCAGAGGAAATGGATGAGAGGAGGCGTCAGAACATTGCTTATGAGTATTTATGCCACCTAGAGGAAGCAAAAAGGTAAATAAATTCAAATTACACTTAAAATCGTAATCCTAGTTTTTAGCTTCAGAGTCTAGAATACAGCTCTGAGAAGATTTCCTGAGATGAGTCAAACTGAGACACTGGATCAAGAGTCTTATCTGTCCTTTTATTTATTTATTGTGGTTTCTCTAATTCTAGCATACTAGTGTTTTATAGAGTAGAAAGAAATTTTATGAGAATCTTCTCGCTTACTGTGGCAATTTTTAAAGAAATGGAAGAGGCAGGCACTGACCTCTAATGTATTGGAGTTCAGGGTTTCATTGACCACATGCAAGAGTGTTGAGCCGTGTGTGTGTATACTCAGTTCTGAGTTAGTATTTGGCCAGATACCCATCCATACTGGAAAAAGAAACAAGGTGAAAGTATCATGCTTATAAAATAACGTGCAATACATTGGGCTAGATTTCTGTTCCATCTACCAGACATTTTGTGGGACTTGGGCACCTATGTCCACTTACATGCCTAACTAGCAAAATAGGATCTGGCCCATAATGTCCTGCATAAAGTTGTTATAACTTTTTTTTGCTGTAAAATAAAGATGTCAGGCTTTTTTACTGCTGTTGTTCTGATGACTATAAAGTTGTACTATACTATCATTTAGTTTTATGAGGAAAGGTGTGTTTTTTCATGTTTCTTCAGAAGAATATTAATCCTTTGTATAGAGACTTTTGGGAAAACCAATTTCAACAGTAGAACCTACTAAGCCTCAAAGCTTCTTGAGCTTGAGAAAAATGAGAAGATTCTGACTATACATGGAATAAATTTAGTCAAAATCAGTGTTTCTCAACAGGAATTCTTTTTAGATTTCAAAATATCTTGTTTGTCTGTTTTTTAAGAAAAGTGTGACAATCCACTTTCTTTTGTATGAAAATGTCATTCATCTCTGCTAACACTCACTGTCTGTCCACAGCAGCTAAATCCCCAACTACAGATTATCAAGTTGGCCCAGAGACATTATGATGGTGCCTTGGCCTTGTTCTAACTTCCCCCCTTCATTATGCTGTCCCCTCACTGTAGTGAGCGCTGCCTGTTTCTGAGTTCAGACTTCTGATGTAGCTTACAAGCCAATAGGAAATCGTTAGTCTTCGGCTTGTATCTTGTTCTGTGTTCTTTCTCTTACATTTCTTGCATCTAAACTGTATACTTTTTATTTCGTAACTTTTATTAAGATACAATTTATTATAACTTCTCAGTTCCAGCTTTTCTTTTGTCTTCAGTTTCTTTTCATTTTCTTTGCAGAGAGAAGTCTGAACTCAAGCACTCTGCGTTATGTCTCACTGAGAGTATCCTGTGATATTTTGCAAGGATAGATATAGCAGTAAAAAAGAATACTAGTAAAAAAGAATACTAGTTATTACCTTTGTGCTGCTTTTCTTTGTACTGGTGATAATATAATATTTTTAATGATTCTTCAGTGGTATTTTAGAGATGATGACAAATGTGTTGGGTCTGGGTGTAGCAAAAAGGAGTCTCTTATCAAACACCCAGCCAATCTAATGATTTCCAGAGTTGTAAAATACTTCTCTCTCTGCATTATACTATAATAATGGTACTTCAGTGGCTAGGTGTGTAATTGGGAGGAGATATCTAATGTGGCTTCCTGGGGGTGTGTCCTGGGTCTGCTAGTGTTTATCTTCATTAGTAACTTGGAGGATGGGATTGAGTGTAAAGTTTTTATACTTACAGATGACATCAAGTTTGGTAGATTTGCAGGTGCTCTGGAGGAAAGGATTAGAATTCAGAATGACAGTGATAAACTGGAAAAATGGTCCAAAATGTATCAAACAAAATTAGCTAAGGTGAAGTGAGAAGTCCTGCAAAGGACCTGGGGTTTGTATTGGCTCATATTCAGCTTAGTTTACTAGTGTGCTTCTAATGGAAGGATGGGGGAGCCAATAGCATACTAGACTGTATTTAATAGAAACATTGCTTGGAAGTTAAGATGGAAGTGACTCTGCTCTGTTTAGCACTGGTAGGCCAGGAAACGTGAGGTACAAGGAAAAATTAGAACAATTGGGATTGTTTAGTCTGGAGAAGAGAAGACAGGGAGGGGTTTGATAACTGCCCTTTAGGTTTTGTCATATGTAAGGAGTAATGCTCTTAAACTGCAGCAAGGGTGGATTTTTGTTTTTGTTTTTTGTTGGTTTTTTTTTTTTTTTTTAGGTTGGATATTGGGAAGAACTTTCTCTAGCAAGGGTGGCTAAGCATTGGAACATCCTACCTGGAGAGGTTGTAGAATCTGTCCTTGGAAACTTTCAAGGGCAGGTTAGAGAGACTCAAGCAGAGAGGTACAATGGTCTTTGTCACCTGGAGGGGGAACCTTTCTGCCTGCTGCTGCCACTGTCCCAGTCCCCATGGAGCTTGACGAGCAGCTCTAGTTTAAACAAAACCTTTCATTGCTTGAGACCAAAATAACAGCTTCCAAAGAATATAGCACCAACCACTCCACTCCAAATTCCCTCTAGGTGAGCAAGCATTGTAGTACTACATCTTGTGAGAAGTCTGATGGCACACTTCCTGGGAGTTAAAAGGCCTATGTCAAACTCTTCTGACCAGTGGAAGAGAGAACGCAATCATTAGAACCCTAATCCAAGAAAGGGTGATTCTAATTGGGATTGAAGATGCTGTTGGTGCAAGCTTGCATGCACCATTTATCTTTAAAAAAATCTGTTGATCTTAGAACCAGTCCTCCTAAAGTTCCAGAAAATTATGGCCCCAAAACAACTATATGACGAGAGAGATTTTTTTAATGGGATTTTTTTGTTGTTGGTTTTTGATTTTTGTTCTTTATATTGATGTGTTGTCTTTCTGGGAAGAAAAACTTTTTGAGGGAGGAAAGAAGAAACTGGAATTACTCTTAATTGTATTGTCGTCTTAAACAGCTGCACAGTCATCCAGTGCTATTGCCGAACTGAGATAAATGGCTAAAAGTATGTTTACCTCATTCACCCGGGCAGGTGGTTGCGGTGTGCATGTGGTTTTTAACCATTCAACCTTTGCAGCTTCAGAAATTGATACAGAAGCATTAGATGACCAAAGATTTTGGCACAATGCCATTATTTGTGTTGCATTTTAATTTTTAAACTAAACCATGCTATAGCAGTGGGGGCTGACCTCTGCAGTGTTTGTAATCAAAATGTTTTTAACAGCTGTACATTTCAAAATGCCAGAGTTAATTAAAAAGTGAAGAATGTGTACTTTCAGCTGTTTGTTTTTTTTAATCATTGTTTGCACATTTTACTTCCTGTAGGATGGCTTAATAAAAATACTCCCAAATCAGACCTGAAAATGGATTATCTTATTAGTTGTACTTCTGTCAATAGTACCTTCTGTGCTAGGTACACTTTTTTTTGATATTACATGTCCTGCAAGATAGGAAATTGCTTAAACACAATGCACAGACTTGAAATATCTATGGAGATCAGCACTGTTTGAATAGGGTGTTAAGTTTGATATTAACAAGCACTTGTTCCATTGCATTATACTACTAAACCTAACACCTGCCTAAAGTAAACAGAGCAATTAATGGCTGACTTACTCTCTCTTCTCCCCCCCCCCCCCCCCCCCAACTTCTCTGTCCTCCCAAAATAAATTGGCAGTATGGAACTGATCTAAAGAGTTATTTCAGACCTGAGAATTTTGTGAGCTAACGTGAGAGCTAATATTTCTGATATTTGCTTTAAGCTTATGGAAGCAATAAAATTAGAGGCAAAGCTATTAGTTTTAATCTTTTTCTTCCTTCAAGTAGAATAATTTGCTTCCAGTTTATTTGTCCAAGTTTCCATTTTAGTTAAATTCATGAAATGCTGCAAAACTCTGCAAGTTGAAGGATGTTAGATCTTGTTCTACATACAGCAGCTCCCTTAATCAAGTCCCAGAAAACATGTAGTAATTTTTCTTTAAATAATCTTTTTGAAGGGATTCATCTTAATTGTTTTTGTAATTGGCTAGAATTAATTGAAACATTATCACTAAATTCTCTTTGCTAGAGTTTATCCTTGTCTGAAATTCTAGCTATTACACTGCCTCAAGCCTGGCTTTTGCTTTAGCTTTTCCAGAGCTGTGCACTAAGCAAACCATTTTGTTTTGAACAGTAGCACACATGTTGTGAAATTCTGTTAATTGTCACGGATACTGTGATATACTACAAGCCTAATGGAAATGTAGTGTTGGTAACAACTTAATTGATATACTGGAACAGCTCTTGCTGACTTGAAAGTTTGTGACAGGGCTGAATTTGCCTGATAGCATCTTTTTATCTTGGTGTGTCGTCTTGCATTCAAACTGAGCTTTTTTTCCTTACAGAAAAATCAACTGTATTTCAGGTTGTAACTCTTTTGGTTTTTTTGCATCCTCCGTCCTCTTTTCCTTTTAATTTTAAGAGCATGTTATTTGCGACTTACTGTGAGTGGGTAGAAAACTTGGATTTTGTTTTGAAAAATTAATATTTTTAGGGTTTTTCCCTTTTACTTGGCTACAGACATTCTCCTTGCTTTCTCATTCTCTAACGATATGAACTGGCCACACAGTGATCTGGCCTTCACAGGAATGATGAATGATCCAGCCAGATGAGCCAAAGAATTTCTCTTTGGAGTTGGAAGATATGGGTATAAAAGCTTCTAGGGCAATGGCTTTCAACGTGTGGTCCACAGACCCCTGGGGGTCTGCAGGCTATATCTAAGGGGTCTGCAGAAGATTACTATAACCAGTCTAAAGTATGTAACTACTCGCTCTAACATTTCAAAGGGGTCTGCACCTCCATTCAAAATTTTTTAAGGGGTCCACAAATGAAAAAAGGCTGAAAACCAGTGATCTTGAGCCAAAGAGGACATGGAATGCAGATCTCTCTGGGCAAGTGCTCTACTGAGGCTTACAGAAAAGATAGGGACTACTAACAAATTCCTTCTTCTGGCCTGATTTTAAAGAAGTGATCCAGTTTGTTTCAGGGTTGACTGAGCTCTAGAAGTGCTTGAGAG